TTGGTTGGTTGGTTTGTTGTTTAATGCCGCACTCAGCAATATTACAGCTATATTACGGCGGTCCGTAAATAGTCGAGACTGGACCAGACAATCCAGTGATTTATATCATGAGCATCGATCCACGCAATTGGGATCGATGACATGCATCAATCAAGTCAGCGAGCCTAATCACCCGATCCCATTAGTCGCCTTTTACGACAAGCATAGTCGCCTTTTAAGGCAAGCATGGGTTGCTGATGGCCAATTGCTTTTAAGCCTGACTGTATATGAAAGAATTTCACTGACCCTTGTATGACAACTGTAAAAATGTGTTACATCGAAGAGGTTGTGACAAAGTTTCAGTTACACAACAAGAAGCAGCTCGATCTCACAGGCAGGGAGGTCGACATCATTTCTGTGCTCAACACTGACTCCTAACACAAAACAAAACATGCATCAACTCCTCCCTAGGAGGAAAACAATATTGATCAATATATTTTTTGAATATTTATATAAACAACATATCTCACCGGGACAGCCATCTTGTCAACATGTCGATATGGCTTTCCACCTGGTTGTGTGTGACTGTCAACTAACTATGGCGTACGATTATCATAGTTTAACATATTGTGCTGTAAAATTATTCCAAAGCCTGGCATGCTGTATTGATATTGAAATTTAATCTATGAATATGCATTGTCCTCTAAACCCAGAGGAAGGAACCAGGTAAATGATAAACCAGTGCATGGGCGTATCAGCCTGTCCACGTCAAACTATTCATCGACACAATGACTCCGAAACCTATCAACAATGAGAGTTAATGATAATATTGTAATGGTTAAATGATTGTGTATGCATTCGATCGTTTTATCTCACTGACTTTCCTTGATTTGACCTGACCAAACCCACATTAAAGATAGTCATCGAGTATATTTCTGGACGACTTCAAATAACGCTGTCCACAATAGGTTAAAGTTGAATCCCCTTTTTGCATACGTCAGCCTTACCATAACTTGATTCAAGGAATCTGGCAAATATAACAAACTAACTGAGTAAACGTAGAGTCATGCGTTTTTGCCGACAACTGATCCATTTGTTTTGAAGATCCTGGTTACAATAGGTCTTCAGCAACCCATGCTTGCCGTAAAAGGCAACCATGCTTGTCGATAGAGGCGACTAACAGGATCGGGTTGTCAGGCTTGCTGACTTGGTTGATGCATGTCATCATATCCCCTTTGCATGGACCGGTGCTCATGATGTCAATCACAGGATTGTCTGGTCCAGATTCGATTATTTACAGACTGCCGCCATATATATACACAAAGAAAAAGGTTAAACACACCCTAATATATTTCATTATTTTTTGGTCCCAATATTTGTAACCGTCATGAAAGATATAATTATGGGAAGAGTTATGTTTTCTCGAGATGATGTAATCAGTCATGCGTGACAAAAGCTCTCGTGCCATGCATGGTATGCCCGTGCAGCATGCTACCCTCGAGTATCTCCAAAAGCTGTATATCCGAACGTTAAAATTGCTTTCTTCAGCTCCGTTTTAAACAGTTATTCCATGATTTTGTGTGACCATGGCCCGAAGGAGATTATCAAAGGGCACAAGATGGCAAATAATCGGCATGCATAACGCAGGAATGTCTTGTAATGCCTTTGGATGGAATATGGGGTATCATCACACTCTTGTAAGCCGTTTAGTCGAGAAACATGTTGAGACGGTGATGTCCAGTACCGTCCCAGATCCGGAAGACCTCCTGTGACGACACATTGCGAAGACTGGGACCTTCTTCGTCTCATACGCCGAGAACCCTTTTCAACAAGTACTCTTGTGAAACAGCTGTGGTTGCCCAATCGTCGTTTCAGGACCAGAACCGTCAGGAACCGACTGAAAGCAGCAGGGCTGAGGGATAGACGGGTCATAAAGGGTCCCTTGTTGAGAGATCACCACAAAGCTGCTTGTTTAGCATGGTGTATTGGGCGACAGAACTGGAATCTGAGAACTTGGAGATGCATCCATTGGTCAGACGAAATTCGCTTTCTGCTCCACAGCACTGATGGAAGGACGATTGAACCCCCTTGAACATGTTTTGGATATTCAGCATTGCATCAGGAGTGGGTGTTGTTGACCCATCAACAGACTGGAGGCATGAGACGTAGGGTGGAATGCGTCATCCCGGCACGTGGCGGTTATACCCGCTACTGATCTGTTTCACGAGTCATGTCAAGTAGAGACTTTAAGGAAAATTTTCACATGAAACAACAAATGTAAAACTTAATCCTGCAGATGCATGCTTTTTTTAGGTATTGTCTAAGGTCAAAAACAGTACCTGTGTTACGGTGATGTTTTTGTCAGTAAATTTCAATCACAACTCATCATCATCTTCTTTTTTGGGGTCAAATGTTTGTTCTATCCGATGACATTGGTATCGCCCAGCTCCTGTTGTCAGTCATCCCATGCCATGATTTTTGCCATTTGTCATGGTTCAGAAACAGGGGTGTGCTTAACTTTTTTCTTTGTGTAATATGTTGCTGGAATATTCCTGAGTGGCGCGTTAAACAAAATAAACAAAAAAAGAAACCTACGTTATTATCAGTTGACAATCATTTTAGCAGGAAGTTTAGTGCACGGTGTCTATGATCGCTGAATAACATAATATAGAATTGCACCGACGGTGAAATGTACTACACTGTGTAAAACATTTAGTCCTGATACTGGTCTTGCCAATAACCATGACTTCGTTGCCTGTATGTGTCAACCCGATTCAATGGGGACTTGTTCGGAGCGTCTGTTGATACATGTTTGCGTTCACTGTTTAAAGGGTTTTACCGTATATTTAGACTCTCACAACCATAAATCAAATCGCAAAAAATACAGCGTTTGATGACAACAGTGTGAGTGAGTGAGTATGGATTTACGCCGCTTTTAGCAATATTCCAGCAATATCACGGCGGGGGACACCAGAAATGGGCTTCACACATTGTACCCATGTCGGAAATCGAACCCGGGTCTTCGGCGTGACAAGCGAACGCTTTAACCACTAGGCTACCCGACCGCCCCTTGATGAGGATATGTTCCGCCATAATGCCATGCAGCTTATCGCACACGGCGAAAAGGAATGTCAGTAGCGCCATAAATGTCTTAAACAACATGTATGACTTACCGCCTCCGTGGTCTAGTGGTAGAGCGTCCGCCAGGAGAGCGTAAGGTCCGGGGTTCGATCCCCGGCCGCGTCATACCAAAAGACGTTAAAAGATGGTACTTGTTGTTACCCTGTCTGGCGCTCGGCATTAAGGGGCTAAAACAAGGACTGGTCGGCTCGGAGTCAGTATACTGTGTCTCAGTGGGGTATTCATGTTAAACTGCGGCATGGTATCTCAGTGTGCTAGCACTATGAATCGGCATCAGTCCGGCCTAGTACAAGCAGCCACACACAGACACACACACACACACACGTACATGCACGTCGCTATATAAGTGCAATAATCTTGGACGCGACATTAAACCCCATTTCACCTCACCTCACCACATGTATGACGTCTTTGTTTTCCCTTCATGCGTGGCTTCATAACGTCATCAATCTAACTTTGCTGCAGAAGTTGCTGATGTGTACTTTCATTTCTTGTTTTAAAATCTTACTTTAGAAAAGATAAATGAAGTCTGTAAATGATGAAGATACCTTTTTTTATAATATATTCAGGAGAGTGCATGCTTCGAATTGGTTGGTTCAAGGCCTTCTTTAATATATACTAACAAACAAAAATAGCTGTGCTTCATATATAGTTCATTAAAAAAACACATTTATTCTGAAAATATGCATCTTTCAAAAGATATACATAAAGACATCTCCTCGATTTTAAGGTCATAATACACAATTTGCACGTGCATGTTTTTAATGTGAGCATGTTACCCATACAATATGTTTGAATGTGAACCAGACACAATGTTTGTTGGCTGTAAGGTGCTCATAAAAACACTTTTGTTTAACCGTAAATAACGCTTACGCAATGCTACCGCTTGCTGAACATCAGTCTGGTGAACACACTGTTGGTATGCTGCAAACAGGAACGGCACATAACAAAGTTGACAGACATTTTAATGTTCATCGAAACACAACATTATCTCTTTGCAGACGTTTTTCAGAACACGGCAACACTCATGACTTCCCATGGGCTGCTCGTCCACGTGTGGCGTCACGTCAACAAGAAAATCATATTCGGTTGGTGCATCTACTGAATCGATACCAAAGCGCTCGGAAAATTTCTCGGTTCAGACCAAATGGAGGCAGAACCGTACAAAACTGATTGAAGGAGCACAGCATCCACTCTGACATCCAGCAATGCGCCAAATTCTGCTTCTATGTCAGTCAGGTACGCCTAGCTTGGTGTAGACAGCATCAGAGATTCAGGTTGTTTGGTTGGTTTGTTGTTTAACGCCGCACTCAGCAATATTCCAGCTATATGGCGGTGGTCTGTAAATAATCGAGTCTGGACCAGACAATCCAGTGATTGATATCATGAACATCGATCGACGGAATTGGGATCAATGACATGCATCAACCTAGTCAGCGAGCCTGACCACACGATCCCATTAGTCGCCTTTTACGACAAGAATAGTCACCTTTTACGGCAAGCATGGGTTGCTGAAGACCTATTCTACCCTGGAATCTTCACGGATTCACTGAGATTCAAGAGACCAGACTGGGACAGTATGCAGCTCAAAGATGAGTCAAGGTTTCATATGGACTGCTCTGCAAGGCTCTACAGGCGGTGAAGAGAAAGTTTTAGCGACGCTAGTGTTACTCCAGGTCGTCAGTTTGGGTTGGAAGTGGAACCAGAACCAGGACTTCACTGTGATAAGTCAACACTTTTAACCACTGGGCTCCCCATCGCTCATACTCACCATGCTAGTGAGTGAGTATGGTTTTACGCTGCTTTTAGCAATATTCCATCAATATCATGACGGGGGGGACACCAGAACCTCACCATGCTAAAATTAACAAACACAAACATTTAACTGAAAACAACAATTTATTAACAACCTCAAAACTGATAGAACATTGTTCACTTTCAGTGTTTACTCCTTCCAGTCCCACTGTGTTAGTGAGGCAGTCTCACTGCTGCACTGATGCTCTGAAACAAGTTCATCCCATTCCCTTGAGATGTAGCTGGTGCTGAGGAACCTTGGGCAATAGCCTGGACTGGAGGTCTGACATAGTTATGTTGCGATCCCAAACAGGATGTATTTGGTGCTGAGGAACCAAAAGGAGCAGGACGATGCACTGGCGGTCTGACAGGCATGTAAACGTGATGGGGACCTGCATGGGATGTAGTTGGTGCTGAGGAACCAGGAAATCTGTCTTTACTTAGAAACCCAGGTTGCACCAGAGTCATGTTATTGTGGGGGTTACCTCCCCTGACAGCCTGCCCAGACGGACCCAGTGTAGGTCTGTAGGAGGAACCAGTATTCACACAGTGGCCAGGATAAGAATGGACACCATAGGGAGTCATATAATGGCTTTGAGGAGGTGGAATCATTGACTGATCAGAAGATAGGGCTGTGTTGTTGTTGAAGCGCGGGTACGCCTGCCGACTTCCTTGAGCTGCCATCTGTTGGGTGAAGGCGTGGTCACAAGCCTGGGTGAACATCTGACCCACGCCACTCGTGGATTGTCTGGGTTCCGTATCTCTCACAGGCCGCTTCTTACGTTTGTATGGAGCTACTTCAACAGGAGACAGACCCCTCTTTATTGAGGGCTTGTCATCTGAAGCCCTTCTTACCTGCTGATTCTTAACAGACACTGGAACAAACGACAGGGAGGATGCTGGTTGCGAAACACTTGAACAGGTCTCATTACTGGCCTGTGTTCTCTGAATGCTATCTTGTGCTACTGTGTCTGACTCTGTATGTTGTTTTGAAACTTCCACATCCTTCCTCGTTTCATACGATCCTTCATCATTGTTCCTAATTTCGACACTACTCGTGTCGCCCTCACAGGCCGAGGTTTCTGAAATGCTGCCTCCTGGTCCTACCCTCAAAGTCTGTCCTTCCTGACCCAATCGGTCAGCACCGCCCACTCCGACACCATCTACAGCTGCCCAGGTTCGGCCTCCCTGCACCTGCACAAAGGGAGATGAGATGGGCGTCGCCATGGCTACATTGTCATGATACTGATGCAGTATTTGTGGGCTGGGTTTAAGCAGTGGTGAGGAGATGAGCTGAATTCCTGTGGATGTATTTGTTTCTGAGTTTTTCTTCTTGCGTTTGTAGGGTATCACTGTTTCTGGCTGCCGTTGCAACTGGGACATGCTTGAACTTGCCTGCATTGCCTTTCCACCAGTCCTCCTCTCAAACTGGATCCTGCAAGAAGTAAGAATGAAGTGAGTGAATGTTGTTTTACTCAGCAGTCTGCAATATTCCAGCTATTTCATGGTAAGGTGAAAAGGTGTTAATATGTTCTCTTTAGAAGTGTTGAACTCTCCTTGATACATAGAAACATCTCTTTGACACATTTTTGTTTGTTTGTTTGTCGTTTAACGCCCCACTCAGCAATATTCCAGCTATATGACAGCGGTCTGTAAATATTCGAGTCTGGACCAGACAATCCAGGTATTGACATCATGAGCATCAATCTATGCAATTGTGATATGATGACATGCATTAACCAAGTCAGCAAACCTGTTAGTCACCTATTACAAAAGGAGAGTCACCTTTTAAGGCAAGCATGGGTTGCTGAAGACCTATTCTGACCCAGACCTTCACAGGTCGCTTGACACATGGTTAGTGTAGAGAGTGAGTAAGGTTTTACACCGCTTTTAGCAATATTCCAATCTAACCAGGGTCCTCAGCGTGACGAGCAAACACTTTAACCACTAGGCTACCCCACCGCCCCCATGGTTAGTGCAAGGGTGAATTACTTTGCATTGAGTCGTCTCCCCTGATGCCAGACACCTCCAAAGGAAGGCAGCCACGATGCAGGCGTCTCAGACTTGTGATCAAACTTGGCACCGACACGGTTAGCTGGCAGCTTCTTTTTCTTTTCTCTCTCCACTGAAGAAAAACACATATAGCACACTTAACACATTGAGTTTGCTGTTAGCAATTCTAGAGCAGCAACATGTGAAGTTCTACATGATTGGAGACTACATGAAGACTACATGATTGGAGTTCATGCTTTCACAGAAGGACCTGGACCTGACCTACAGCAAGACCTGATTTACGGTAGGACCTGGACCTGATCTACGGTAGGACCTGGACCTGGATATGATCTACGGTAGAACCTGGACTGCATCTTTTAGTAGGACCCGAGCCTGATCAACAGTAGGACCTGGACCTGATCTACAGAAGGACCTGGACCTTATCCACAGTAGGACCTGGACCTGATCCATAGCAGGATCGGGACCTGATCCACAGTAGGACCTGGACCTAATCTACAGATCTACAGTAGGACCTGGATCTGATCCACAGCAGGACCTGGACCTGATCCACAGTAGGACCTTGACCTGATCTATAGTAGGACCTGGACCTGATCCTCAGTAGGATGCTGACCTGATCCCAGCAGGACCTGGACCTGATCTACAGTAGGACCTGGACCTGATCCTCAGGACTTGGACATGATCCACACTAGGACCTGGACCTGATCTACAGATCTACAGTAGGACCTGGATCTGATCCACAGCAGGACCTGGACCTGATCTACAGTAGGACCTGGATCTGATCCACAGCAGGACATGGACCTGGATCTGATCCACAGCAGGACCTGGACCTGATCCACAGTAGGACCTGGTCCTGATCTACAGTAGGACCTGGACCTGATCCACAGCAGGACATGGACCTGATCCTCAGTAGGATGTGGACCTGATCCCAGCAGGACCTGGACATGATCCACAGTAGGACCTGGACCTGATCCACAGCAGGACCTGGACCTGATCCACAGTAGGACCTGGACCTGATCCTCAGTAGGACATGGACCTGATCCACAGTAGGACCTGGACCTGATCCTCAGTAGGACATGGACCTGATCCACAGTAGGACCTGGACCTGATCCACAGTAGGACCTGGACCTGATCTACAGTAGGACCTGGACCTGATCTACAGTAGGACCTGGACCTGATCCTCAGTAGGATGTGGACCTGATCAACAGTAGGATGTGGACCTGATCCCAGCAGGACCTGGACCTGATCCACAGTAGGACCTGGACCTGATCAACAGTAGGACATGGACCTGATCAACAGTAGGACCTGGACCTGATCCACAGCAGGACATGGACCTGATCCTCAGTAGGATGTTGACCTGATCCCAGCAGGACCTGGACATGATCCACAGTAGGACCTGGACCTGATCCACAGCAGGACATGGACCTGATCCACAGCAGGACCTGGACCTGATCCACAGTAGGACCTTGACCTGATCTACAGTAGGACCTGGACCTGATCCTCAGTAGGATGTGGACCTGATCCACAGTAGGACCTTGACCTGATCTACAGTAGGACCTTGACCTGATCCTCAGTAGGATGTGGACCTGATCACAGCAGGACCTGGACCTGATCCACAGTAGGACCTTGACCTGATCTACAGTAGGACCTGGACCTGATCCTCAGTAGGATGTGGACCTGATCCCAGCAGGACCTGGATCTGATCCACAGCAGGACCTGGACCTGATCCTCAGTAGGATGTGGACCTGATCCCAGCAGGACCTGGACCTGATCCACAGTAGGACCTGGACCTGATCCTCAGTAGGACATGGACCTGATCCACAGTAGGACCTGGACCTGATCCACAGTAGGACCTGGACCTGATCCACAGTAGGACCTGGACCTGATCCACAGTAGGACCTGGACCTGATCTACAGTAGGACCTGGACCTGATCTACAGTAGGACCTGGACCTGATCCTCAGTAGGATGTGGACCTGATCAACAGTAGGATGTGGACCTGATCCCAGCAGGACCTGGACCTGATCCACAGTAGGACATGGACCTGATCAACAGTAGGACATGGACCTGATCAACAGTAGGACATGGACCTGATCAACAGTAGGACATGGACCTGATCTCCAGTAGGATGTGGACCTGATCCCAGCAGGACCTGGACCTGATCAACAGCAGGACCGGGACCTGATCCACAGTAGGACCTGGACCTGATCTACAGTAGGATCTGGACCTGATCCACAGTAGGACCTGGACCTGATCAACAGCAGGACCGGGACCTGATCCACAGTAGGACCTGGACCTGATCTACAGTAGGACCTGGACCTGATCTACAGTAGGACCTGGACCTGATCTCCAGTAGGATGTGGACCTGATCCCAGCAGGACCTGGACCTGATCCACAGTAGGACCTGGACCTGATCCACAGTAGGACCTGGACCTGATCCACAGTAGGACCTGGACCTGATCAACAGTAGGACGTGGACCTGATCCCAGCAGGACCTGGACCTGATCCACAGTAGGGACATGGACTGTCTTCAAACCAACATGATAAATCTTTGATACATACTCTGTCATTGTCAGCCCTGGCATCCTGATCATTAAGCTATCCCCAAATGGTAGTTTAGTCTTCCTGTCCGTGTTCATCATACTTACAGTGTTTGTTATACTCCGGCAATGACGGTCCTATCTCCCCTGACCCAGCATCCTCGTCTTCCTCCATCAACCAGGGGGGCGTGGCACCAGTGAACACATTGCCCTCCCCCACTGCTCCATCCTCCACTTCAGAAAGCTGGGGGGAAAAAAAGCCTCAGCTTTCAATGGCAACAATTATTTATCGAAGTACTAGGAAAGTAGATCGAAAATATATTATTGTGGCTGAATGCACATGTAAAACATTCCACCTTGCCCACATTCAACAAGTCCATCACAGTAACATGTTTACAACACTAGGACAGATGGTGCAGAAATGTTTGTTTGTTTTTAGCAACATTGCAGCGGACATCTTATCGAGACAAGGGAGTTAACTGACCAGTCCAGTTTCAGCCCTTGCCGAACTAGGCTGGAATAATGGAGTTATATTTTGGCTAGACTAACGAATCTATGCACGGTCCAATCAAAACTGCGTAATGAAATCGACATCCGGTTTGAAAACTGCCATGGAGATTTTGGTAGACTGCAGGATTCGCAGTGTATCATCAATTTAGCATCAACATATATTTTCCAAATCTTATCATGTTTTTAATCATTGTGCTCCAGTGATTTGATGTACTTTGCACTTCTCAATTCAACAAGCATGAAATACTCATATCCCCCACCAATATTTACATGTCCAGTTGTGTGCAATGCAATGGACCTTTTTGTAATGGCGTATTTGCAGCACTAAAAGAGTTATTACTGGTGTTGTTTTGCCATCTGCAGTTTATGATAGAATATGTAGCTTTATTAGTAATGAGTTGTGTTATTACTTAAACAATAATCAGAAGTAAGGGAGTTCTTGCTTTACTTAGAGATTATTGTGATCTGATGATCTGAGTAGAAGACTGGGGTCTGCTACAGCACTGGCTTGGTCAGTAAACAACAAGTCCAGTGTAGCTCCATGACAGTGAGTTGGAGAGTGAATGAGTTGGGTCATTTTCCGCACATGAAAGAAATCTTCAAGTTTCAGCTTTTTACTCAGTCAAAGTCGTTGCCATGGAAACTCAAAAAATATTTTTTTTAATAATCACAAACTATCAAAAGGCACCAGTTTTCTGCTAGACCTATCTATGTGCCAAGTTTGGTGAAGAAATATTTACGGTTTTCAAGATCCGCCATCTTCAATCTAAGTCAAAGTCGCTGCCATGGAAACTAGAAAAATAATTTTTTTTACAATCCCAAACTATCAAAAGGCACCCGTTCACCACATCTCTCATGGTTTTTTTGTTCTGCTCCGGAAACGAAATGTGACAGATGGACAGAAAGACGGCACCCATTCCTATCTAGATTATCGATCAGATTGTCTTCACTGGGTGCCGATATTTTGTTTGAGGCAAATGCCAGTTATATGAGAGGTGGATCTGATTGGTCAATAGGAGGGACATAGAAAGGACATAATTCAATCGAGCTCAGATATTCCAGCCTAGTTCGGCAAGAGTGGAAACTGGACAGTTAACTCCCTGAGGTACTGGGGATGCAATCTGACCAGAAATTTCCACAGTGTGCATCGAATATGACATTTCCTGACGGCCTACCTTGTCGCTGTGACGGTTGATGGACGTCAGGCCAACTGCCTTGGCTGAAACTGTCTTCTTTCCTGGCACGCTGACAGCATGGCAGTTGCCATGACTACTGGACATTCGGGGAGTCACATGACCAGGTGCTGAATGCTGGGATATCTGCTTTGTAGATGTCTAAAGAATTCAGGAAACTTCGAACAAAAGAGTCACGTGCAGGACGAACAAAGCAGTGTCAAGGCAGCCTTTGAAATTCCCGCTAATCCTCTCACCTGAGACTACTAAATGTCATCAGTATATTACATAGTACCATACTTTGATTGTTTGTTCTTTAACACCTCAGTCAGCAATATTCCAGCGATATGACGGAGGTCTGTTAATAATCGACTCTGGACTAGACAATCCAGTGATTGACATCATAAGCATCGATCCACGCAATTGGGATACGATGACATGAATCAACCAAGTCAGCGAGTCTGACCACCTGATCCCATTTGTCGCTTCTTACGACAAGTACAGTCACCTATTACGGCAAACATGGGTTGCTGAAGACCTAATCTAACCTGGATCTTCACAGTCGGTACATTACATACAATTTATTTCGGAAGTTCATTAAAATAAAGAAGCCTAATATATATCAAGCAATTCCTGACATGGGCTTTTGGATAATCTTGTTCAAATAAACAATCCGCTCTCAAGTTATTTTTTTTTAAACATAATTAATCATGTGAAAATAAGTAGTGGTTAAACTCCATATTTCTGACCGCCTGTGACACACGACCCCTCTGATGAGGACTTCAATCAGATGGATACAGTCAGGTTATCTCCCTTGACAGATGTACCAGCAGAATTATCTCCCTTGTTCACACACCTTGATCCATGGAGGCTGCATCACAAAACTTCTCTTGGTCACCTGGTTTCTCTCCGCAGCCTGACTCCGAATCTTGCTTGCAACCTGGAACAGACGGATCACATGCATCCTGAATACATTAACCAAACAAGAAAGAAGTGAGCAAAGCTCACATACCCCTGTTATCTCCGCTGGTCAACAACAAATAGTAAACAGTTCGTTAATTAATGAAATATTACATATTTCTAACTGATTTTAACTTCAATGTTTTAAAAACTAAGATTGAGTTCCAGTGGCAATTGCCCCTCCCCAAATCTCCCATGTTACCAGTGTTCACTACGAGGAAGTAGATCACCATGAACACCTTTGAATAAAATTTTGATTGAGGAGTTACATAAGAAGAATTATCAAAAGGACCAAAAATTGTTGATATAAAAACACCTAAAAAATGGAACAATATCATATAAGAAAATCAATAAATTAATCATTTTCATCTAGCCTTAACAGATATGGTAAAGAATTCATAAATTCAAACTAACACAAAGCACAGATACTTATGATGATCTACATGTGTGGAAACAATTTTGGAAAATATGTTAGCTATACAAAACCAGTCATCAAAATTTCTAAATTCCATCATGTTTCCATGAAAACAGCAAAAGAGAAAACTTTCAGAATCTTATAAAAGATAAAAACAATCATAGTGGTTAATGTAGCAAGTTTGCTGAAGCTAGGATACATAATATTGTAAACATGGATCGTACAAAAATTCTACCCAAAATTTATGTTTCACCATGATTCCCAGGAAACGGCAAAAATAAAAAAATTAAGAATCTTCAAACTAGCAAAAGTCACAAGTACTCATTGTGGTAAATGTGTGTAGCAAGTTTGGTGAAGCTAGGATGCATGGTTAAAAAGATATAGGCCGTACAAAACACCCACCCTAAAAGTTTAAGTTCCTAATGTTTCCATCGAAACTGCAAAAATTAAAAAATTCAGAATCTTCAAACTAGCAAAAGGCACAAGTACTCATTGTGGTTAATGTGTGTAGCAAGTTTGGTGAAGCTAGGGTGCATGGTTAAAAAGATATGGGCCGTACAAAACACCCACCCTAAAAGTTTTAGTTTCTAATGTTTCCATGGAAACGGCAAAAATAAAAAAATTAAGAATCTTCAGACTTGCAAAAGGCACAAGTACTCATTGTGGTTAATGTGTGTAGTAAGTTTGGCGAAGCTAGGGTGCATGGTTAAAAAGTCATGGGCCGTACAAAAGCTTGGACGGAAGAACAGAACGCTATATAACCCCGATTTACTTCGTAAACGGGGGTATAATTAACATGAAATCACTCATAAACTAACATTTTGAAAACAGAATATTCTAAAGGTGGGTACTACTGTTTGTTTGTTGTTTAATGCTGCACTCAGCATCAAGTTTATTAGTTTGTTTGTTTGCTTGTTACTTGATGCTGCACTCAGCAATATTCCAGCTATATGATGGCAGTCTGTAAATAATCGAGTCTGGGCCAGACATGCATCAACCAAGTCGGGGTGCCTGACCACCTGATCCCGTTAGTCACCTCTTACGACAAGCACAGTTGCCTTTAACGGCAAGCATGGGTTGCTGAAGACCTTTTCTACCTCAGCGACCCGTTCCAGAAAGCGATCTTAGCGCTATGACTATCGTAAGCCAGTGTTAAAGTATGGGAGTTACGATCACCTTAGCGCTAAGATGGCTTTGTGGAACGGGGCCCAGATCTTCACAAAATGACAGAATGACGTAAACTCTGGTTGCCATGTACCTGTGAGAGCTGTGTCTTCACTCGATGTCTGTACACGGTCACTGCTGTGTCAGCCTTGTTGCTGAACCTGCAACACCAGGGTTAATCAGTGTCTGCATCGATGCACAAGTGTCAAGGCATGCTTGCCAGCGCCTAATGAAGCTTTGAAGCAATGAGTTGGGTAAAAAGGACTAAGGAAGAGTATTTATGGATGTCAACTTCTAGCCTGCCTTGGGATGCTAAATACAATGTTCGTTCCTAATACATGATATATAACATCCAAAAACACACTTACGTGATAACCTTTCTATTTCATATATACAGCAAAGATTTAACGTCGCGTCAAAGATTATTGCACTTATATAGCGACGTGCATGCACGTACGTGCGTGTGTGTGTGTGTGGCTGCTTGTACTAGACCAGACTGATGCCGATTTATAGTGCTAGCTCACTGAGATACTATGCCGCAGTTTAACATGAATCCCCCACTAAGACACAGTATACTGACTCCGAGCCGACCATTCCTTGCTTTAACCCCTTAATGCCGAGCGCCAGACAGGGTAACAACAAGTACCATCTTTTAACGTCTTTTGGTATGATGCGGACGGGGATTGAACCCCGGACCTTCCGCTCTCCGGGCGGATGCTCTACCACTAGACCACAGAGGCGGTCAGCAAAGATAGAAGACTTCATGTAGCAATAGGGGGCGGCCGGGTAGCCTAGTGGTTAAAGCGTTCGCTCGTTATGCCAAAGACCCGGGTTGGATTCCTGACGGGATACACTGTGTGAAGCCCATGTTGGTGACCCAGCCGTGATATTGCTGGAATATTGCTAAAAGGGGCATAAAGCCATACTCACTCACTCACTCACTCATATAGCAAAAGCATAGCAAACATGTGAGATCCATTCCCACCACTGGAGTGAGTGGGTTTAACGCCCCTTTTAACAGTATTTCAGTTATATCACGGCATGTCAGCTTAATGTGGGAGGAAAGCCCGAAGTGATGCAGATCTCAGACTTCGGTGAAACCCACGAGCACGGGTATGGTGCTGACAAACCTAGAAACATAATCGGGCCGAACCGGGATTCGAACCCACAATCATAGGTTTCTGGCGTGCCCAAGGGACGCAACTCTGCAGTGCGAATCGTGGCGCCTTAGACGACTGGGCCACCCGTGCCCCCTCCTACCACTGGAGATATAAGTAGTTAGGTCCCTGCTTGAGGCAATTCACATCTCTCACATATAAGTCTTCATATCAAGATCAAGTCTCAAAATGAACGCTTGTCCCCTTGTCCAAGACAAGTGAAAAGTTGAAAAGACCAGTGAGTTGTGAGCTGACTTATAGACTAGTCAGTGCTAGATGGACCTATCGGATGGGGGGACTCTCACCTGTCTGCATCATCTTGACTGAGAATATATTTAGCTTTCTTCTTCTTGTCAATGATATTCTTCCAGAAAAACTCACCAGTCTTCTTCGCATGATCATCACTGTAACACAATCGACAGAACTGTAACACAATTATAAGCTATATAACACAATCGAAAGTAGTTTAACACAATCAACATCACTGTAACAAAATTGACAGCACGGTGACACAAAACACATAACTGTAACACATTTGACAGCACTGTAACACAATCGACAGCACTCTTAAACTGAACACACTGTAACACAATCAACAGCACTGTAACACAAAACACAGGACTATAACACAATCGACAGCACTGTAACACAAAACACAGAACTATAACACAATCGACAGCACTGTAACACAAAACACAGGACTATAACACAATCAACAGCACTGTAACACAAGAGACAGCACTGAAACAAGTCACAAAACTAACATAAAAAAACAGCACTGTAACCATGGTAACAAAACACCACTGCAACAAAAACACAAAAAACACAGTCATGCAACAGTACTGTAACACAAAACACAACACTAAAGTTAGTCCTCTATATGTGGCTGTACAGGCTGAAGCTCACCTGGCTAAGTGGAGTATAAGTCCACCATGTTTCACTGTACAGTCGGTCTCGGCCCTGTGTTTGCCGACCTCCAGTTGACAGAAGTAACACCAGAATGTCGCTCCGTTCTCCCACCCCAGCGGTTCAACACCAGGGTTGTCAATACACACTCGTCCGTCCTGTATCTGCAACATCAGATGAAGCTAGTGAATACCCATCTTCCCGAGGGAAGAGAGTTAACTGACTTTAAAAGTCCAGTTTCCACCCTTGCCAAACTAGGCTGGAATTACTGGACTCGATCATAGCGCCACCAGTGGCTATTACCAGTTATGTCCCTTCTAAACCTCTCCTATGGACGAATCAGATTCCAACTCTCGTATCACTTGCGTTTGCTTCACACAAAATGGCGGTGCCCAGTCAGGACGATCTGATGGATAATCAAGATCTATATTGTGATAAAACGGGTCTTATATCGCGAAATGCATCAAATCACATGAGCACCTTGGTTAAAAACATGAAAAGATTTTGAAATCTCTGCTGACAACGAGTTGGCGGTGCACATGCTTTGCAAATCCTGCAATCGATCGAAATCTGCACGACAGTTTACGAATCGGATTTCAATTTCGGTGCACGATTTTGATTGGACTATGCATAGACTTGTTAGTCCAGCCAAAAAGTAACTCCATAATACCAGCCTAGTTAAGCAAGGGTGGAAACTGGACTTTTATAGTCAATTAACTCACTTGCCTCCGGAAGATGGTGAATACCGGACTCACGAAACGAGTTGGAACAACTGCCAATGAAGGCCATCATTTACGTGTAACACACAGCTCATCTTGGACCAGTTGTTTATGAAAAATAACTTGGTTTTGGTAGGAATTATAATAGAACTACGCTATTAATCGAAAAGAACAGTGAAGAAAGAACCATCAGGACCGAAGTGAAGCGAGAGTCATGCCCGGCAGTCCGAGACAAGTAAGGGAATTAAGCTTTGCAGTGTTGCCGATCAAGGATTTTTGTGAACAAGATAGGGCTGGAACGAGTCCAAATTTACTACCCGGGTACCCACTCCCCTATTACCCGACCCTACCCGGGTACCCACTGTAGGTCTCAGGAGATGTCTCAAAATGTTCGATTGAGAACATTTTGAACACAGCACTGGCAAAACGTATTTAGACACATGTATTAAACAATCTGGTCATTCATACACTGAAGCTGAATTAAGTTGTATCTTTATTCAACCATATGAAAAATCAGAAGGAATGGGTGCATAGTCAGAAAGAAATGCGAACATTAGTGACTCGTAGTGTAACCATAGAGTTCTAGATATTTTCTGTCATTAAACAATATATCACGTGACTAACGACGGGTCCGGGTAGTCCTGTCGGTACCCGGGTCCTACTCAGTACCCACCCGACCCGGGTACCCGAGTTACCCGTCCCAGCCCTAGAACAAGATGTTTTGTGTGAAAGCGATGGTCTACTGATAGTCGGACTTGTTTCATTGGCAATACCTAAGTCCCCACATCGTGTTATCGTAATTACCTTCTTCTCAAACTTCTTGAGTATATTTTGTAATATTTCTTGATGTCTTTTAGAGTAGATGTGCTTCTTTCGTTTCTTGTGACTTATTTTACAGAGGTTGCAGTAGTCAAACTGCATAAACGATGTCGATTCGGTTGCCATTATTGCAATACACATTACTGTCTTCCACAGTTACTTCCCTTTCCCTATTACGTTCTTCAGCCATCGAACTTGCATTCAGACAACGCGACTTGTTCAAGTCAATGCTTCACAAACCGGTTAGAGATTGGTTTTGGGTTTGACCAATGAAATATCGTTATATCTGAACCGGTTCCAACTTATTCAGCTTCCTGTTTGAAGAGTTCCCCGGAAATGGAAAATGTGTTTGGATTCTTGTTTCGTCGTAAAATGTAAAGTTTTACAAATATATCGTAAAATCAGATTGTTTGGAGCTCCAAATATATGACGTATTGAAAGAGGAAGTTATTAAAGTCACAAAAACCTTGTTCAAGTGAAGGTATGTCTATTTTATGTGCCGACTACAAAAACGAATTTGTTGACATTCAAAGATTCAAACTGAACTATTTAGAAATCGAGGTCGCTGGATCTGTACATGAACATATTTATAAAAATATTTATCAAAACAGAAATACGTGGCAGGAATTCCATCCATCACCTTAAATATCCTTATTTCCGCTTCAGTGCCAAGAATGTCAACAAAAAGTGACAGATAACCCGTCTAATGTGGAGATCCACCCCTCAACGAAATACTGCAAAGTTAGTTATCTTCTCATCAACACAGATCATATTGCCATGTGTCGGTGGTGTAACCAGGGTTCTCGAATTGATTAAATGAGAATCTTTCGCCATCAACAGTGTTCCCGTTTACCGGTAATTACCAGATTTTTACCGGTAAAATTAGGCATGGACCGGTAATTCATGTGACTGCCAGTCCCTGTGGACTGGCAAATAAAGTACTTATAGATCTTTGTTGTTGAACAAAAAATCAGTGATATTCATATATTCAGATATAAGTACATTTTTCAAACAAAGTCAGCTTGTCTGTTACAATCAGGGTTTCCCCTTATCTATTTCTAGGTTAAATATCCAGTTGTAGCGACTTTGTCTGAAAATATTAAAAAATAAAGAGAAAATTGTGACTGAGTTTGTGTGAATGATGTATAGAGCTAACTAAGTTACTTCAGAGATGACATCTTTGCACTGAACATGATGTTGAAAGAATTAAAACCAAATAATTTTCATATGTTTTTTAATTGTTGAAAGTTGGGACTGGCAAAAATTAGAGGGGACTGGTAATTTTTAGAGTTGCCAGTCCACAAGGACTGGCAGTTTCAAAAGCCAGGGGGAACACTGCATCAAGTGACCTGTCAAACTCAAAATCTACTTCTTAGATTTGGTAACTTATTCAGTGTTTATCATGTTTATCGTGTTTATTGGTTATTTCATACCTGACAGATAGTACGTCATTGGTTCAGTGTGTTTTTGAAATCATGCATTAAATAATTTCCGAGTGTGACGTCACATGCCTAATTCATTCATCAACCAAAACAATAGAGTGAAGCAGGCGACACAAGCAGTGCACAGTTTAAACTGGCTTCAGTTTTGCTTTTTAAAAGAGGCAAATTAAAGAGAAATCAGGGTTTTTTTCTTACGGCTAAGTTACAAAATACTAACCTGCACCTCACTGTCGCAGTTGCAGTAGGAAGTCTATATAATAATGCAGAATAATATCATATGTAAAGTGCACCAAAACTTTTGCATTAGGCCAGTCTGTTCTTATTTCAGAATAAGTGTTTACCAAAAAAGGAATGTCCCTCTAGAGCAGAAACGAAATAAGGCAAGCAGAGCCGAGAAAACTTGAGGTTATTGTTTATTGTTTACAAACAAAGTTTCAGAAAGGTCGACGTCCTGTTCCTAAGTATTTCTGCGTCAGTTGTTTTCAGGTTATCGCTCGCATTCGTAATCACAGATCACTGCATGTCATAAATATCAATTAAATGGACGATACATATTCCTGTAAAATGGTTCTTAATCATGATATTGATGAGTCAGTCAATTTTTAATGTCATTCACATATGCTACATATGGTTTTGGTTTGGTTTGTTGTTTAATGCCGCACTCAGCAATATTCCAGCTATATGACGGAGGTCTGTAAATAATCAAGTCTGGACCAGACAACCCAGTGATTAATATCATGAGCATCAATACACGCTATTGGGATCAATGACATGCATCAACCAAGTCAGCGAGCCTGACCACCCAAGCTTAGTCACCTTTTATGTCAAGCATGGGTTGCTGAAGACCTATTCTACCACGGAATCTTCACGGGTCTGAGCTACTTTGATAATCTAAATATCGATACTTCATTCTTCACTGTGTAATAATTCACTACCACACAAACATTGACCTACTTACATTTACTAAGGTTACCATGGTTACGATGGACAAGAAGATGGTAAAAAGTTCAATTTTAAACATTTAATGGATCAACCTAGTTCATGTTTTCTGTTTTTGCATTAAATTCCAGGCTATAGGTTATCTTATCTATGCACAGACAGAAAGATTAATCTGATTATAAATCTATGTAACATGGTACTTCTGAGTCGCTATAGCTATACAAAAGTTCCAGTCAATCCTAAACTCCTGGATAAATCTGTTCAAGTGAATCACAATGTATTCTTTTAAAATCTGAGTATATTAAAAATATTTCATTTTAGTGTCTAGAGAAGTTTTATGTTGTTCATTTTGACATAAGTTATAAAATAATAATAAATTATTAGATTTCATCCTGCTACTGTCACTACCAAACATCTCACCTCAATCAAATTATTGTCCCACCGGACTGGTGTACAGGTTAAGAAAATTCAGTGTTCCCGTTTTCTTTTGAAACTACCAGTCCACCAGGACTGGCAACTCTAAACAATACCAGTCCCCCCTAATTTTTGTCAGTCCCAACTTTTAGCAAATAAAAAAAAGTATGAAAATTACCTGGTTTTAATTCTTTTAACATCATGTTCAATGCAATGATGTCATCTCTGAAGTAACTTCGTTAAATCGACAAGCCATTTACATAAAGTTCAGTCACATTATTCTCCTTTATTTTTGTTAATATTACAAGCCAAAGCTGCTACAAATATATAGTTAACCTCAAAGCAAAGCGAAATGTGATTTGCTTGCACTAAAAATAGACAAGCAGAAACCCTGATGGAAACAGACAGGCTGACTTCATTCGAAACATATATTTATATGAATAGAGCCAATGTTTTGTTCAAAAACAAAGATTTATAGGGTACTTTCTTTGCCAGTCCACAGGGATTGACAGTCACATGACCCGTGAAGATCCGGGATAGAATAGATCTTAAGCAACCCATGCTTGCTGTAAAAGGCGACTATGCTTGTCGTAAGAGGCGACGAACGGGATCGGGTGGTCAGGCTCGCTGACTTGGTTGAAGAATGTCATCGATCCCAATTTCCGTGGATCGATGCTCATGATGTCGATCACTGGATTGTCTGCTCCAGACTCGATTATTTACAGACCGCCGTCATATAGCTGGAATATTGCTGAGTGCGGCATAAAACAACAAACCAACCAACAACCAACCAACAAATTACCAGTCAAAGCCTAATTTTACCGGTAATTACCAGTAAACGGGAACACTGAAATTGCAATGTGTGTTTCCTCTAGTCTTTTTTCTTTAGGGGGGCACGGGTGGCCCAGTCGTCTAGGGTGCCGCGATTTGCTATGCAGAGTTGCATCCCTTGGTTGCGCCAGAAACCTATGATTGTGGGTTCGAATTCCGGTTAGCCCCGATTATGTTTCTAGGTTTGTCAGCACCATACCTGTGCTCGTGGGTTTCACCGAAGTGCTAAACGTCTGAGACCTGCATCACTTCTGGCTTTCCTCCCAGATTAAGCTGGCACGCCGTGATATAACTGGAATAACGCTCGCGTTAATTTCAAGATTGACTGTATTATATTGTGTTGCATTCCAGGCATATAGTACCTGTTGTAAGAGTGCCGGTCAATATCTGCATTGGAGAAGCGCCGCGGTATACAGTTCCCCCGCACCAACATGCCAGCACTGCTTGAGCGTCCCAAGATGACCCGCACCATGTACCACGCCCTCAAACGCCACATCCTCAAGGAGAGGGAGAGGAAGAAACAAGGTAGGTGTGTGTAGGGCTGGCTGCTGATACAGATCATAGCAGGGCTCCAGATAACTTTTTGAGGAGCCGCCTCCGTGGTCTAATAGTAGAGCGTCCGCCCGGAGAGCGGAAGGTCCGGGGTTTGATCCCCAGCCGCGTCATACCAAAAGACGTTAAAAGATGGTACTTGTTGTTACCCTGTCTGGCGCTCGGTATTAAGGGGCTAAAACAAGGACTGGTCGGCTCGGAGTCAGTATACTGTGTCTGAGTGGGGTATTCATGTTAAACTGCGGAATGGTATCTCAGTGTGCTAGCACTATAAATCAGCATCAGTCTGGACTAGTACAAGCAGACACACACACACACACGCACGTCGCTATATAAGTGCAATAATCTTGGACGCGACGCTTAACCCCATTTCACCTCACCTCACCACCACTTTATAATGTTTAATCTATTAATTGTTTATTTTGTGAGATAAATTTAAGATGTTGTACTGCTGATGTATAAAGAAATGGAATTCAGCTGCGACATATTTCGACCATGTGTTGCCATGGTTACTGTAGATCTTCCAGCTTTTTAGTATGATTGATGACTATCTTTAAGCAACTTGTCGGAAGCCTCTGTCCAGTAATCTGTCTCAGTCTGTAAGCTTAGCTTGTGACAACTGGTAAGTTCAGGGTAAATCATACTGACAGTGATGGTCAGACCCACAAAGACTCATACTTAAATTTATGATGTGTTGTCATGGTTACTCTCTGTCTTCCAGAACAAGAGCAGGATGCCATGATGGAGAGATTGAGGAAGGAGAGAGAACTGAAGAAGAAGAAAGAGGAGGAAGACAGCCTCACTCTGGAACAGACTAAAGAACAGGTGAGTGTCCTCCAACAGTACAATACATAGTCGATATCGAGAAATGCAGTAAGGGTTGCATCTTAATTCCCGAGGCAAGGAAGTTAACTGACTACAAAAGTCCAGTTTCCACCCTTGCCGAACTACGTAGGAATTACGTGGCTCAACCGTAGCCCCACCAGTGGCTGTTACAAGTCTATGTCCCTCCTTTTGACAATCAGATTCCACCTCTCATATAACTTGCATTTGCAGGGCGGTCGGGCAGCCTAGTGGTTAAAGTGCTCACTCGTCACATCGAAGACCCGGATTCGATTCCCGACATGGGTACAATGTGTGAAGCCCATTTCTGGTGTCCCCCGCCGTGATATTGCTGGAATATTGCTAAAAGCGTCATAAAAACCATACTCACTCACTCACTCACTCACTCACTTGCATTTGCTTCAAACAAAATGGCAGCGCCCAGTCAAAGGATCTGATCGATAATCAAGATCTATATTGTCATAAAAACAGGTCTTACCTCGCGAAGTGATCAAATCATATGAGCACCATGATTAAAAATATGAAAACATTTGGAAAATATCTGTCGATGCCCAGTTGACGGTGCCCATGCTTTTCAAATTGTCCAGTCAACCAAAATCTGCACGTTGAAATCAATGTTGTTTACGAACAGGATGTGTAGGTCATTACGCGATTTTGATTGGACTATGCATAGACTCGTTAGTCCAGTCAACACGTTCAAAATGTAACTCCTGAATTCCAGCCTAGTTCGGCAAGAGTAGAAACTGGACTTTCATAGTCAGTTGACTCCCTTGCCTCAGGACCCGGGGAAGATTCTGGGGTAGAATAGGTCTTCAGCAACCCATGCTTGCCGTAATAGGTGACTATGCTTGTCGTAAAAGGCGACTTACGGGATCGTGTGGTCAGGCTCGCTGACTTGGTTGATGCATGTCGTCGATCCCAAATGTGTGGATTGATGGTTATGATATCAATCACTGGATTGTCTGGCCCAGACTCAATTATTTACAGACCGCCGTCATATAGCTGGAATATAGTTGAGTGCAGAGTTAAACAACAAACCAACCAACCCTTGCCTCGGGAAGATGTAAAACTACTAACACATAACAATACATGTGAAAAACTGCTTGCTGTGTGAATAACTGCTCGCTATGTTACAACATCTACATTGATCTAAAAAAACATTGAAAAGTAATCGATACCTTGATATCCCGATATGCAATGACACCCCTACTTGTGCTGCAGGTGTCGCAGTTGGAGGTGAAGCTGGAGACGCTGAAGACGGAGAAGCATGACCTGTTTTCTCGCCTCAAGAAGGTTCTCCATCAGGAGGACGAGACGCGGAGACGGACACAAATCAAGGAGCAGCAGAGGTCAGTCCCCCTTACACCTCTCACTATGCAGGGACCACTTGTCTCCTCAGTCGTCTAATGCGCCCAGAATTCGTCCCTGGGTCACGATACTGCCTCTATGGTCTAGTGGTAAAGCGTCCGCCTGGAGAGTGTAAGGTCCGGAGTTCGATCCCCGCCCGCGTCATACCAAAAGACGTAAAAAGATGGTACTTGTTGATACCCTGTCCGGCGCTCGTCATTAAGGGGCTAAAACAAGGACTGGTCGGCTCGGAGTCAGTATACTGTGTCTGAGTGGGGTATTCATGTTAAACCCCATTTCACCTCACCTCACCCTGGGTCACGTCAGAAACATGTCATCGTGGGTTTGAATCCCCTGATTGCCCTGATTATGTTTCTAGGTTTGTCAGCTCCATACCCGTGCTTGTTGGTTTCACCAAATTGGTAAACGACTAAGACCAGCATCACTTGGGCCTTCCTCCCAAGGAATAATAATTTTAAAAGAGGTGTCAAAACAATTCACTTGCTCAATATAGGGGTATATTCCTTCATCTTGGCCACTTTTAGCTATAATTTAGGGGTACTCATCTTCCCGAGGCAAGAGAGTTAACTGACTTTAAAAGTCCTTCTCACCCTTGCCGAACTTGGCTGGAATTCCTGGGCTCGATCGTAGCGCCGCCAGGGGATATTACGAGTTATGTCCCTTCTAAGCTTCTCATATGGACCAATCAAATTCCACCTCTCGTATCACTTGTATATGTTTCAAACAAAAAGGCAGCGTCAAGTTAAGACAATCTGATCGATAATCAAGATCTATATTGTGATAAAACGGGTCTTACATCACAAAGTGCATCAAATTACACGAGCACCTTAATTAGAAACATGAATAGATTTGGAAAATATCTGTTGACAACGAGTTAGCGGTGCACATGATTTGCAAATTTTGCAATCGACCGAAATCTGCACAACAGTTTACTAACTGAATTTCGATTTTGTTGCACGATTTTGATTGGACTATGCATAGACTCGTTAGTCCAGCCAAAATGTAACTCCATAATACCAGCCTAGTTTGGCAAGGGTGGAAACTGGACTTTTATAGTCAGTTATCTCTCTTGCCTCGGGAAGATGAGGGGTACTAAGCATCAAAGGGTACCTACAACGCAGAAAGTCTAAAGCATTTATGAATCCTTTTGTATAATTAGCAGTCAATTACAGCCAATGACTGTTTAAGGAAGGTTCCGATCTCATTAAAATCAGATCTTAGTTCTCGCTTCCGCTAAACAAAGATCTGAGGACATCCCATTACTGGTCACGTCAGTCCGACCTTGCGTGAACTTTGACCGACCAATGGAATGACGAATCAGAAGGACGCTTTCTCGTGCTTTACGGCACTAATTTCAAATTGGCGACTGCGCTTCGAAACATATTTTGACAAATTCTCGATTGCAAATTAGAAACCTAAACAAAAGAACATTCTGGAATGGCTACTAGATGGTCTAGATTGCATGGATTCAGTCGTTAAGCCCGTAACTATTGTTCGGAATACCCCGTGTTAAAGTTTTCGAAATTGCATGATTAGAAATCACATTCCGACTGTCACTTTCATAATCTGGTAAGAGACGCTCTGATTGGTCGGATGAAAGGTCGTTTTGACGTGACCCCTAATGGGATGTCTTCAGATCTTTGTTTAGCGGTAGCGAGAACCAAAGTCTGATTTTAATGAGATTGAGGAAGGTTCAGGCCAGCTGTTCTTGAGATGGTCATCTTGTGGTCAGTTGTCAAATTCTGGTCCCCTGAAATATGACATTATGGTTGCAGCGAGATGTTGCTGCACGCCCAGCAAGGCTTTCCCTCCCACGGCATCCCTGTGTCCGGCCACCCCGTCATGATACAGCAGATCTCTGGCAGACCCGCACTGTACAAACCTCCCTCATCTATCATCGTGAGTGTCACCTTGCTTTCTCTTCAATGAACACGACCCTGGTGCCTGAAACTGGCATGTTTTTACTCTCAGTATAAACCTCAAGTCATGTCATCCTACTGTTCTCCAGTCAGGTTAAATCTCATAAACATGGATATTATAATATCCCCGGAATTCTAGATAATATCCCCAGGATTTTATGTAATATCTCCGCGATTTTATGTAATATCTCCGAGATTTCATGTAATATTCCCGGGATTTTATGTAATATCTCCGGGATTTTATGTAATATCTCCGGGATTTTATGTAATATCTCTGGGATTTTATGTAATATCTCCGGGATTTCATGTAATATCTCTGGGATTTTATGTAATATCTCCGGGATTTCATAGAATATGCCCGGGATTTTATGTAATATCCCCAGGATTTTATGTAATATACCTCCGGGATTAATATCTCCGGGATTTTATGTAATATCCCAAGGATTTTATGTAATATCTCCGGGATTTTATGTAATATCTCCGGGATTTCATGTAATATTCCCGGGTTTTATGTAATATCTCCAGGATTTTATGTAATATATCCGGGATTTCATGTTATATCCCCGGAATTTTATTAATATCTCCGGAATTTTATGTAATATCCCCAGGATGTTATGTAATATCTCCGGAATTTTATGTAATATCTCCGGGATTTCATGTAATATCTCTGGGATTTTATGTAATATCCCCAGGATTTTATGTAATATCTCCGGAAATTTATGTAATATCTCCGGGATTTCATGTAATATCTCCGGGATTTTATGTAATATCTCTGGGATTTTATGTAATATCTCCGGGATTTCATAGAATATGCCCGGGATTTTATGTAATATCCCCAGGATTTTATGTAATATACCCCCGGGATTAATATCTCCGGGATTTTATGTAATATCCCAAGGATTTTATGTAATATCTCCGGGATTTTATGTAATATCTCCGGGATTTCATGTAATATTCCCGGGTTTTATGTAATATCTCCAGGATTTTATGTAATATATCCGGGATTTCATGTTATATCCCCGGAATTTTATTAATATCTCCGGAATTTTATGTAATATCCCCAGGATGTTATGTAATATCTCCGGAATTTTATGTAATATCTCCGGGATTTCATGTAATATCTCTGGGATTTTATGTAATATCCCCAGGATTTTATGTAATATCTCCGGAAATTTATGTAATATCTCCGGGATTTCATGTAATATCTCCGGGATTTTATGTAATATCCCCAGGATTTTATGTAATATCTCCGGAAACTCATGTAATATCCCCGGGATTTTATCTAATATCCTGGGGATTTTTTAATACAAGTTCCGTTATTATCTTGACATATGAATGTTTCTCGCATTTGAACACAATGTAATGAAATGTAAAATCAAATGACAAATATTTATTTATATTCCTGAGGATTGAACACGCAACGTTCGTATCTGTAGCCCAGTGAGTGTACCACTAGGAGGCGCTGGTAAATCAAAATACTTTTAAGAATGCCTTTTTCAAGTACCCAACGCCCGCAGCAGATATTTTACGCCCGTTTCCAAAGGGTTATGGAAAGTATGTTTGAAACATTAAAATGTTGATAAATATTGTTTTCAGTTCCTTTTTGGGGCTTGTCAGTTAAATAAAACACTTCCCCTCACGTTGTCATGAGATTTAAGACCCTCTGACTTGTTTTATTCTACACGTATAAGGCTGTTTTGTGGAATTTCTGTTTTAAAGACACAGGTTTTGACTTCTGATTGTCTGCAATACAAGTATCAGCGATTAGGATTTCCCAACCACATCACCAGTTTTACCTTGACTGACAAATCACAATTTTATTTCATCATTGCAACCACTGAATCGCCGATCGGCTGCCATTTTGTTTATACTTCTGCAGTACTCATTCTTACAAAATTGTTCATGTTTTTAATTCCGATTACATATGATTTGAACTGGTTACATATATCATGTATATAGTTTGAACATGTTATTGTTTGAGCTTCAAGACTAAGTGCAATGATCAATGTCCATAGACAGAAATGTATGGCGGTACTGAAACGGAAATGTCCTGCCGGTCACTGAAGTATTGTTTGAAATGCATAACAATGCATCCTTATAAAAGGACAAGTGTTGTATCATGAGATCAGGGGGCACGGGTGTCCCAGTCGTCTAAGGTGCCACGATTCTCTGTGCAGAGTTGCGTCCCTTGGCACGCCAGAAACCTATGATTGTGGGTTCGAATCCCGGTTCGCCCCGATTATGTTTCTAGGTTTGTCAGCACCATACCCGTGCTCGTGGGTTTCACCGAAGTGGTAAACGTCTGACACCTGCATCACTTCGGGCTTTCCTCACGGCGCGATATAACTGGAATACTGTTAAAAGCGGCGTTAAACCCAACTCACTCACTCATGAGATCATGTTTTGATACAAAACAATATTGCCTTATATATACTGACCCTCAAAAGTTAAGGATCATTAAACCACCTCCATGGTCTAGTGGTAGAGCGTCCGCCCGGAGAGCGGAAGGTCTGGGGTTCGATCCCCAGCTGCGTCATACCAAAAGACGTTAAAAGATGGTACTTGTTGTTACCCTGTCTGGCGCTCAGCATTAAGGGGCTAAAACAAGGACTGGTCAGCTCGGAATCAGTATACTGTGTCTGAGTGGGGTATTAATGCATGGTATCTCAGTGTGCTAGCACTATAAATCGGCATCAGTCTGGACTAGTACAAGCAGCCACACACACACACATACATGTGTATGCACGTTGCTATATATAAGTGCAATAATCTTGGACGCGACGTTAAACCCCATTTCACCTCACCTCACCTAAGGATCATTAATATTTTGGGGGATATATTTTGTGGTGAAGACTGAGCACGCAATTTCTTTGAAATTTCCCCAAAAATATTCATAATTCTTAACTTTGGGGGTCTAGTCTTTTGAAACTGCCAGTCCTTGTGGACTGGAAACTCAAAAAATTACCCCCCAGTCCCCCCTAATTTTTGCAAGTCCCAACTTTCAACAAATGAAAAAACGTATGAAAATTATTTGGTTTTAATTCATTCAACATCATGTTCAGTGCAAAGATGGCATCTCTGAAGTAACTTAGTCAGATCTATACGTCATTCACACAAACTTCAGTCACAATTTTCTCTTAATTTTTTAATATTTCGAGAAAAAATCGCTGCAACTGGATATTTAACCTAGAAATAGACAAGGGGAAAGCCTGATGGTAACAGACAAGCTGACTTTGTTTGAAAAATGTACTTAAATGAATATCACAGATGTTTTGTTCAACAAAGATTTATAAGTGCCTTATTTGCCGGTCCACAGGGACTGGCAGTCACATGAATTACCAGTCCAAGCCTAATTTTTTCCGATAAAAAACTGGTAATTACCGGTAAACGGGAACACTGCTAGTATGACAGTTGGTTTTTTTGTGTTGCAGGGTGTGAAGCGCACAAGAAGTCCGTCCCCTCCCCCCTCCACGTCGTACCAGGCCTACTCCTACACCCCCGCCAAACAGGCCACTCACATCTACCAGCACCAGCAGGCTGACTTCAGTACGTCACACTTTCTATGTACTCCATGCAGCGTTAGAAACTGGCACTAGTCCTATAGTCCTGGCCAAACTGCCCAATGGTAAAGGTATCATAAGGACTAGTAGAAATTTGCCCTTTTTAAGGGTTTTGCTGTGTGTTATCATTATAAGGACTAGTGGACGAAAACTGTTAGTTTCTAACCCTGCCATGTAGTGTCCGAAATAACTGCTTGCCTGCTGCCCGTGGCTGGTAACTTTTCTGTCAGGCTGCATGAAATTTTCCTCCACCTGCCCGACTCTCTGGCACATAATTTTAAGACTACTTATGTATTCAATTTTTTTATAACTCCATGTAGATTCTCAAGTATTTGTTTGCATTATTTCAACTGAATCAAGACAGGATTTACTGTATTCGCGCACACGGCGATATATGCTAATATATTGGCACGTGAACAATCCCAATTAGCACGCCTTCCGATTGATCAATGTATACAAGACTTATTTATTCGCGCATAATACGCCCGCGTGTGTTATATGCACCTTTAATTATGGGCAATTAAATTCTGGAAAAATGTATCTGCCATACATAAACATTTCAGGTCATCTAAGGCACAGCGATTCGCTGTGCAGAGTTGCGTCCCTTAGGCATGCCAGAAACCTATGATTGTGGGTTTGAATCCCGGTTCGCCCCAATTATGTTTCTAGGTTTGTCAGCACCATACCCGTGCTCGTGGGTTTCACCGAAGTGGTAAACTTCTGAGACCTGCATCACTTGGGGCTTTCCTCCCACATTAAGCTGACACGCCGTGATATAACTGGAATAATGTTAAAAGCGGCGTTAAACCAAACTCACTCACTCACTATTGTGCCACCAAGGTAGTTAGTTTGGAGTTGTAGATAACACCCTGCATGAAATGCTTGGGCTTTCGCACAGAGAGCACCTCCAGTGACCTCAGTGACCTAAGTGACCTAAGTGACTAAGCCTTGCTCCAAGGCTGCACTGAAAGAATAATCCATGGATGTGTAGTAATTCTATCCTCCTAATAGGCAAGTCTAGATATGTGGACTCCAGTCTCTTATAGTGACAACTTGCTCTTATTATTTACATAATCTAGAAATTACGATTTAAACTAATAATTATTGCCTTAGAGACTTGTGCAAGTCTAAGTGACTGTGTCCACAGAACAAGGCAACTACCCCCAGGGCCAGCCTGTCCATGTGACCTACGCAAGCCAACCAGGACACACCTACCAACAACAGAGTGTGGTCTACTCAAGCAGCCAATCACCAGCCAGCAAGTACAACCCAGCCAGCCAATCAGCTTTCACCTCTTATCCCAGCCATTATGCTCAACATCAACAGAAACAGCCGATAGAGAGCTACCCTCCAGGCTATGTCATACAGCGAATGCAGCAACAAGGTAGGGACAGTTACCATGGCGATATTTGCTAATACAGTATATTGGCTAGTGAACAATCCCATTTTACACCCCTTCCGATTGATCAATGTACACAAGACTTATTTATTCCTGTATAATACGCACTCGTGTGTCATAAGCACTCTTAATTATGGGCAATTAAATTCTGGAAAATATATCTGTCGTGTATGATACGCACAAACTTTTGTATCATTTCAGGCTGTCAGCATAAACTACAAAATTTACAATCTTTCAACTGTTTTTTTCCTCACCAAAATTATAAAGAGAATCTCACCCCAGTGTCTTTTGATATCAAATATATCAACATGAGTTGATAAAAGTGGAAAAATTGCCGAGGATTTTTGCCACTTTTATCAACGAGTGTTGATATATTTGATATCAAAAGACACGAGGGTGAGATTTTATTTATCATCCAACATCATTCTTCCAACTTTTTAAATTTGTAGACAGTAATTAGCAGAGTTTTCAGTGTAAAAAGTACTGCTAACAGCTTCAGTAGCAGAGCCATTAGTGATGTCATTTGATTGTGACGTCATGGTAACCAGTGACGTCACAATGGTCTGCAAAGCATTGTGATGTAATTTCATTGCAGCGATACAATACAGTGTAGATATCGCTTGATCTCATCCAAGCGATATCTCCTGTGGGAGCCAGTTTTGGATGATAAATTCTAATAAGAGCCCCCTCTTTCTAATTTTGAGAGTGACCCAGATGCATATAACGGTGTATACGGTAAATTACCGTGTTTCCTGTCAGTTAAACATTTACTGGTTCCCTGGACCGGTGTGGCGGTACGGTCGTCTCGTGGTTAAAGCGTTCGCTTGTCATGTCGAAAGCACTGCATCGACATGGGTACAATGTGTGAAGCCCATTTCTGGTGTCACTAGGTGTGATATTGCTGGAATATTAATATTGCTAAAAGTGGAGTAAAACCGTAAAACCTCACCTACACGTTCACTTGTTCACTCATTCGTTCACACTCTGCAACAGTGTGAAGCCAATCTGAATTGACTGAAAGGATACAAGAAAAATTAAGCCCATCTGAATTGACTGAAAGGATACAAGAAAAATTAACTGCACATAATTCGCATACAGATTGGTCTTGCCATAGTAAGAAAAAAACCATTTCATGCTACTCGCATCGACAGAAAACTTTCTAGCAAAGAGCTTTTTCAGTGCCGTTTTGCAAAACAAGGAAATGTCACTAGACCTGCCTGACTTTTACTAGTCTTGGACTTACAGAGTTATGTAACAAGCGCCCACGGCGATATTTGCTAATATATTGGCTAGTGAACAATCCCAATTAGCACCCCTTCCGATTGATCAATGTACACAAGACTTATTTATTCGCTTATAATATGCACTCGTGAGTTATATGCACCTTCAATTATGGGGAATTAAATTCTGGAAAAATATATCTTTCAACTCTGTTTTTTCCACCAAAATGATATTCTAATAAGAGCCCCCTATTTCTAATTTTGAGAGTGCCCTGGGCGCATATTACGTCGAATACGGTAACTGTTTTTGTTATATCTCAAATGTACACAAACTAATCCCTGCATAAATGTGCCACCACTCACCATTTGAGTGAAATATGTTGATTTCTTTCGAATTCTTTTTGCGCATCTCTCAAAGTTACTTCACCAAAATTTATTGACAATTGATCAATGTATAGTTAAGGATTACCGATCTCTATGATCTGTATCATAGCCAACCCTATTTCTGACCGTGCCGTGTCATTGTGTGTTGTCCAGCGGCGGGGTACATCGGGTCTCCCCACAATCCCGGCATCCCCATCCAGCAACCTCTGGACCACGCCACCCAGAAGTCCACATTCAACGAGGAGAAGTACAAGATCCAGCAGGTCGGTATATAGGGCAGGTCGGTACATGGGGCAGGTCAGTATATGGGGCAGGTCGGTATATATAGGGCAGGTCGGTATATATAGGGCAGGTCGGTTTATAGAGCAGGTCGGTATATATCTATAGAGCAGGTCGGTATATGGGGCAGGCTGGTATATAGAGCAGGTCGGTATATATAGAGCAGGTCGGTATATATAGAGCAGGTCGGTATATAGGGCAGGCTGATATATAGGGCAGCTTGGTATATAGGGCAGCTCGGTATATAGGGCAGGTCGGTATATATAGGGCAGGTCGGTATATATAGGGCAGGTCGGTATATATATAGCAGGTAGGTATATATAGGGCAGTGGTATATATAGGGCAGGTCGGTATATATAGGGCAGGTCGGTATATGGGGCAGGTCGGTATATATAGGGCAGCTCGTTATATAGGGCAGCTCGGTATATAGGACAGCTCGGTATATTGGGCAGCTCGGTATATAGGGCAGCTCGGTATATGGGGCAGCTCGGTATATAGGGCAGCTCGGTATATATAGGGGTGAAACCAAACATCAGTGCATCGTGAGTTTTCATGTGACGATACACGATATGGTTTCTTTTATGTATTGATATGAAACACCATGGTTTTTTTATGTATCGATACAAGACGATGCACTTGCTAAAATAAATTCCTTAGTACTCATTTAATGACCCCCACCTCAGCATGTTTGTCAGTGAAATATTGCCAGATTGCAGGGGTTCCTGAAGAGATTCTATGCCAGACCACCATTAACTAGAACTATAAATCGGCATCAGTCCGGACTAGTACAAGCAGCCACACAAACACACACACGTACATGCACGTTGCTATATAAGTGCAATAATCTTGGACGCGACGTGAAACCCCATTTCACCTCACCTCACCTTGGATTGTTGCTGTGTGTCAACCTGTATCAACTTCTTACTTTAAGGTTCGAGATCAACAACGCAACTACCAGACTGAAGCATGGCCAGCGGGGGCGTATCCTTTCCCTAGGGTGAGTACATCATGATTCCAGGGTCAGCCACACACCCCTGGGGACTTGTTAGAGACTATATGGTAGCCATTTTGAAAATGTAAGACTTGGTCTTTTTCAGCATGTATCATTATGAAATATGATTGTCAAGTACGGGGTATAAGGAATAACATACAATATTATTTTGGGGCATGTTTTGATTTCTGACTGAGAGATGACCTTTGACCTTCAGGTACATTGTACCACCGTTTTTCTAGTGTTACTGCATGTTTGACATCAGGGACTCTACAAGGCCTATCAAACTGGAGCTTTGTTTGAAAGATGCTAATCTCAGGTGTCTCTAAATAGTGCTCAATATTTCAATCTTATAAACATGGGTACAATTATTTCTATTTGTATGGTGAGCTACAGCTCTTTAGGGCTCTGTTTACATATTTTATGGTTACTTATCTTCAGTTGGAATGGTGAGTGCAAAATTGTATAATTTTTGTTTTTCAAGAATTTATTTAAAATGAGTTTTAGTCTAGTGGTTTAAGTGGTCGCTCGTCACGCCAAAGGCATGGGTTCGATTCTCCACAATGTGTGAAGCCCATTTCTGGTGTCCCCCACAGTGATATTGCTGGAATATTGCTTTAAGCGAGATTAGACCTCACTCACTCACTCACTCACTCACTCACTCACTCACTCACACACTCTCTCACTCATTCACTCACTCACTCACACACTCTCTCACTCATTCACTCACTCACTCACTCACCCACCCACCCACCCACTCACTCACTCACTCACTCACTCACTCAGTGGGGAATGCAGCATACCTCCAAATTGTGCGAGTCCTAATGAATTGGATTTATCAAAAAGTGAACACAAAATGAAATTGCTATGAATAACTTGTTTTTGTTTGGTATCACATAGTGTGGTCAGTTTTCCAGGGCAAACGCTGAGTTTTTTGAAAGAATGGGATGTTACTACCATTACAATGACAAATATTCACATTCGTTAGACAAGATTTGTCTGTATGCGTTTGTAGCACGGAGACTGGATTCATACCAGGACTTCGTATTTTGTCAGATATTGTCTGATGATTGTATGTATTTATTACCTGCTGGAACTTGTTCTTTTCTTCAAATAAGAACCAATCTCATTAAAATCAGACCTCAGTTCTCGCTACCGCTAAACAAAGATCTGAGGACATCCCATTAGGGTTCACGTCAGAATGACCTTTCATCCGACCTATCAGAGCATCGCTTAACAGCTTATGAAAGTGACAGTCGGAATGTGATTTCTGTTCATGCAGCCTCGAAAACTTAACCTCCGAACGATAGTTACGGGTTTAACGGCTGTATCCATACAATCTAGACCATCTATTAGCCTTTCCAGAATGTTCTTTTGTTCAGTTTTCAAATTTGTAATCGAGAATTTGTCAAAATATGTTTCGAAGCGTAGTCGCCAATTTGAAATTAGTGCCGTAAAACACGAGAAAGCTGCCTTCTGATTGGTCATTCCATTGGTCGGTCAAAGTTCGCGCAAGGTCAGTCTGACGTGACCCGTATGGGATGTCCTCAGATCTTTGTTTAGCGGGAGCGAGAACTAAGATCTGATTTTATTGAGATTGAATAAGAACTAACGTGGATTAAACTGAAGTTAAAGTTTTAAATATGTAGGTTTTCTTGTGGTTTTTGCTGCTGTTGAAATGATTATTTTAGCCCTGTGATGGTGTGTGGAGCTTCATGCTGTGTTATCATCACTTGCTGTGATTACACTAACTCTGCATCACTCCTGGAGCCTCATCCTCGTGCATCCAGGGTATTATATCTCAGTTATGGGTCGGTTTGAATGACATCATGTTGGAAATAGTTGTCCTGTCACATTACACTCGTTTCGTGATTGAAACAAGATGTCCAAGATTTTAAGTCACTATTGTCATAGGCTATGGAAAGTCTCTTCCGGTTCAAATCAATAGTCACTTAACTCTCTTGCCTCGGGAAGATGACTACGGCTACGCAAAGACTCTTGAATTTCATGCTCAGTTTCCAACACAATTATTAATTAATTAACCTGAACAAAAGAACATTCTTGAATGGCTAATAGATTGTCTAGATTGTATGGATTCAGTCGTTAAACCCGTAACTATCTTTCGGAATACCCCGTGTTAAAGTTTTCGAGGTTGGATGATTAGAAATCACATTTCGACTGTCACTTTCATAATCTGGTAAGCGACACTCTGATTGGTCGGATGAAAGGTCGTTCTGACGTGACCCCTAATGAGATGTCCTCAGTTCTTTGTTTAGCGGCAGCAAGAACTAGGGTTTGATTTAATAATTGTGTTCGAAATTGACATGAAATTCAAGAGTCTTTGCGTAGCCGTAGTCATCTTCCCAAGGCAAGAGAGTTAAGTGACTTTAAAAGTCCAGTTTCCATCCTTGCCGAACTAGGCTGGAATTCCTGGGCTCGATCGTAGCGCCACCTGTGGCTATTAAGAGTTATGTCCCTTCTATGCCTCTCATATGGACCAATCAGATTCCACCTCTCGTATCACTTGCATTTGCTTCAAACAAAATGGCGGTGCACAGTCAAGACAATCTGATCGATAATCAAGATCTATATTCTGATAAAACGGGTCTTACATCGTGAAGTGCATCAAATCCTGAGAGCACCTTGATTAAAAACATGAAAAGATTTAGAAAATGTCAGTTGACAACAAGTTGGCGGTGCACATGCTTTGCAAATCTTGCAATCGACCGAATTTCGATTTTGTTGTGCGATTTTGATTGGACTATGCATATACTCGTTAGTCCAGCCAAAATGTAACTCCATAATACCAGCCTAGTTCGGCAAGGGTGGACACTGGACTTTTATTGTCAGTTAACTCACTTGCCTCAGGAAGATGGGCCCTAGTGGAAAAGGTTGAAAGTTTTGATGTGTCAAAGGATTCAAACTGCATAGGGATATGTTTCAAGGACCCCAGGACCTCCCCTATTCCAAAGATCCGGTTAGAATACGTCTTCAGGAACGCATGCTTGTCATAAGAGGCGACTAACGAGATTGGGTGGTCAGGCTCACTGTGGCATGACCGATGCTCATGATGTCAATCACTGGATACTCTGGTCCAGACTAAATTATTTACAAATCGCCATCGTATAGCTTGAATATTGCTGAGTGCCGCGTTAAACAACAAACAAACACCCATCCCCCCACTTTATTTCGAACACTTCTAAGTTAGTAGTAAGGTACCAGTATTGGATTTGGAGGGAGACGTCATTTCTGAAACAAAGTTATTTCTGTATTTGACGTAATAAGCGCCCTGGGCGCTCTCAAAATTAGAAATAGGGGGCTCTTATTAGAATATTATGTTGGTGAAAAAAACAGAGTTGAAAGATAAATTTCGTTGTTTATAGTGACAGCCTGAAATGTTTATGTACGACAGATATATTTTTTCAGAATTTAATTGCCAATAATTAAGGGTCCATATAACACTCGAGTGTGTATTATACGCAAATAAATAAGTCTTGTGTACATTGGTCAATCGGAAGGGGTGCTAATTGGGATTGTTCACTAGCCAATATATCAGCAAATATCGCCGTGGGCGCTTATTAGAGCAAGGGGCGCTTATTACGCTTATTACGTCAAATACGGTATGATGGAGGGATCCAGCCTATATATGGAGATATAATGCACTGGATGGACGAAGATGCTGTTGCCTTAACACTCACTCGTCTGCCCAGCACTGACACCACCTCACCAGTCAGGTAGTCTCACCCATACAGCAGCAGTATAGGTATGTGTCTATCACACTACCACCAGGGAACAGTCATTAGGTAGAATGCTTCCTATTTGTTTCTGATGGCTAGAAGTGCAAGCTTTTAAAACTATTCTTATTACTATTTAAGACAGATCGATTTATTGTTTTACCGATGATCTTGCACAATTTGTCAAGACTGGGGCAGAAAGACAAAAATTATTTTGGGGTTAATTTGGTTTTTATTTCTTTCATAATCTTATCTTAAAAATGCAATCTATTATAAAAGATATAAAAAAAATTAAGCAAATTTATATTATAAATATTTTTTTTTATTTACGTTTCGTCATTTTGTGCAAGGTCATTGGTATTACATGGGAATAAGTTGGTGTGTCTTGAAGATGGTAAACTCTGAGGTAGGTCTGTCTGTCTGTCTGTGTAGTCAGTAGTGTGTGCTTGCCTTGCAGGGTGGGCTGCGCAATAAGGCCCCCCCGATGTCCGGGCAGCAGCCAACGGCGGCAGCAGCGGCCATGTTGCAGCAGCAGCTCCAAGTCCAGCAAGCTGCCTCCTCCAAAGTACACCAGTGACCTTCACCTTTATTTGTCACCCAAGTTCCTCCCAGCATTCCTTGCACACTGCTAGGTTAACACTGAGTCTGCTAATGTCACATGATACTTTGACCTTGACCTCTGTGGTGATCTCACAAGCAGATGTTCGTATCCTGTATGTCATACCGCAAAGGCTTCATGAGAGACTTCCAACTTCCGTAGTGTTAAGATTGCTTCGTAGAATGGGCTCCAGAGGTCAAGGTCAATGTCATGTTGCCAAGATGCTTACAAGGAGTCCTGGGAGAAGTTGGTCTAATGCTTGCACACCAGTGTTCAAAATAGGTTCCTGCCCGTAGAAACGCGGCAGGTAGATCGGGCTCGTAGTTTCAAAATTTGTATGGGTCCTTGTGGCCTGCAGTAAATTTATGCTTTAATTTATTTGTCACAGTGTGCTGCAGTTTTTGAAATGAGGGCCTGAAGAGTTTAGTCGGGTTCTGCAGCTTCTGAAGTCTGTAGGTCCTGATGGCAGCCTGGAGTTTATTGTACACCCCTGACCTTAAAGGGCCAGGGTATAAAGTTATACCAAACAATTCTGTCTCTCTGGCCATCCTTCAGAGGAAATGTTTTGTCTGACTTATAACTTGAAAACTTCTTCATTGATTATTTTCAAACTTGGTGAACCTACACGAGAGGTGCACTAAGAAGTTTGATGTCAATTTTTGGATTTTCTGAAAAAATATCAGCTTTTTTTTTGCTTTTTTTTTACTTCAATAATTGTGCGACCTCTAACCAGAAAACAACTTCATGATTCTTTTCCAATTGGAGGTACATTTTCTATACCAGTAGGAGAGGTGCAGTGGAAAGTTTATTTTCGATAAGTGGATTTTCTGACAAAATATTCCTTTTTTCTTTGTTTTGAACTAAGAAATATGTTGGAGTCGAAGTCTTGCTTATTAGTGAGCCCTGCTCACTATTTGCCTTGTTTTTATTTCCCAAACTGTAGAGTGGCATTACTGTAGGTGTTAGTCTTAGTGAGTGGACTAGTATAAGCTGATCTTTCTAGATCCCAAGAAAGTTTACAAGACAAGGGCTTCGGACTTCGGATAAAGTTGCAGCCTGCACACAAGATACTGCTCATGTAAAAAATCATAACATCTAGAGATCTGATACAGGCTACTGTGCTTGTCGTAAGAGGCGACTAACGGGATCGGGTGGTCAGGCTCGCTGACTTGGTTAATGCATGTCATCGATCCCAATTGCTTAGATAGATGCTCATGATGTCAGTCACTTGATGGTCTGGTCTAGACTCGATTATTTACAGACTGCCTTCATGTAACTTGAATATTGCTGAGTGCGGCATTAAACAACAAACAAACAATAATAATAAAATATCTGGCTTTGCAGCTGAAGCTGAAAAATATCTAAGTCTGATACAAAATCACAGGCATCCAATGGTTGGTCCCTAATGTTTGTTCTATCATTCCAGGGCAGTATAGTGACCGGGTACCCCGCCCGCACCCAGGCACCCCCCTCCAGCACCTACCAGCCACCCACACAGGTACAACCTCGCTTCCCATCATCGCGTTCGTGACCAACTCGTGGTTATTCCGGGACAAGCCGAATAGCGACTTGTGACTCTCTCATGGCCATTTTTGTGACCTGGCTCCGTCTTAGCGCAAACGGGCATACCTAAAACATTTGTCAACTCGTTGCGTAATGGTTCACATATATTTCCCCATACATTACATATATTTCAGATACAATTTAAAGCACATCGGGACATGCGAAGTTAAACAGTATGATTGAACACATTTAACTGTGTCTTGGGTATATTTTAAGATGCAAGACATATGTAAAATCAAAAATTATTTCTGAGGGATTCTTTGACGAAGAACTTGAAATCATACGGGCATTCTGATTGGTTTGTCGTATTTTCGCACATAACATTCATCGATAGGGTGATGAGACATCTTGCAGGTTACGGAAAGGGGCGAGTGGTGATGAATGCCCATCATCGGTAACCATCTTCCCGAGGCAAGGGAGTTAACTGACTCTAAAAGGGACATAACTCATAATAGCCACTGCTGGCACTACATTCAAGGCCAGAAATTCCAGCCTAGTTTGGCAAATGTGGAAACTGGACTTTTAGTCAGTTCACTACCTTGCCTTGACAAGACGCAAGCTCCTCACAGCGATAGCCCTTTCACGGAGCTCTCTATACTATCGCTGCCACCAGTCATAGCTCCCCACTGTGATAGGTGGCCACAACCATGCTTGGAGTTGAACTCGCAACCGAATGACCATTATGTTTACAAACAAGTGACGACTGTCGTGACACCGAATACACTCATTCATCGCTGATAAATTACTTTCTTTCTTTGTCAATTTGAATTTCTGTTTCATTAAAACTATCGTGTTATTGATATAGTAAGAATGTAAGGGAGACGTTTGTTGATTTTCCAATGGTCTGCAATCTCGAACCAATCTGATTATTAAAACAACAAGTAAATTCATCTGGAAAACATGGTCCGTCGTAAACCTTTTCAAAATGAAATATGATGGCATTCCCAAAGACAAAACAAAAGTATAAATGTTACTTTATTTGGGGTTAGAGGGCAAATTTCAAGATTCTTGTAATGGTCGCGACCACACTGGTGGCAGCGATGTTACCAAGAGTGTAACGAAGGTGGGAAGGAGCTTGCATCTTCCCTAGGCAAGGGAGTTACCTGACTGTAAAAGAGACATAGTTTGTAATAACCACTGGTGGCGCTACGATCGAGCCCAGAAATTAATGGCTAGGTCGGCAGAGTAGAAATGGACAAGGTCAACCTGCATTCGATAGCCAGTCCGGCACCAATGTTGTTTGACAATAAACCTCATATTTTGTCCGAAATAACTGTTCCAAGAACTATTTCTGTATAAAAACACCAATTGTATCTGATTTTCTTGTTTAACTGAGTCTGTACCGCACCGTGCTGGTAACTGAAATATCATTCAAAATGATTTAAAACCTAACCTCACTTACTCAGTCGCAATTTCCTTCTTTCAGAGTACGTATCACAGTCAGCAAGCAGGAAGACCAAACTGACCAGGTGGACGTCTTGGTGTGTGAGTGAATGCTTTCACAGGACTAGTGACATTCCGGCTAGATGTGAGGCTAGATGTGGCTAGAAACTGACAGCCGGGAGAGACAGACATATGATTGGATCACAAAGCTGACCCTGCAAGTGTACCACGATGGCCGTGCATCAGGACTGCACCTCAACATGCATGCGTGTAAATGGTGCATGCGCTCCACATGGGTGAGGGGTACAAGTGGCCGAGTTGTTTTAGGTGCTGCAATTCACTGTGCATCCTAGGACACACCAGAAACCTTTGCTTCAAATCCCGGTTCGTCCCAGTTACCGTATTCGACGTAATAAGCGCCCCACTCTCATAAGCGCCCACGGCGATATTTATTAATATATTGGCTTGTGAACAATCCCAATTAGCACCCTTTCAGATTGATCAATGTACACAAGACTTATTTATTCGTGTATAAAACACACTCGTGTGTTATATGCACCCTTAATTATGGGCAATTTAATTCTGGAAAGATATATCTGTCGTATATAAACATTTCAGGCTGTCAGCATAAACCACAAAATTTATCTTTCAACGCTGTTTTTTTTCCACCAAAATACCATTCTAATAAGAGCCCCCTATTTCTAATTTTGAGAGCGCCCAGAGCGCTTATTACGTCGAATACGGTATATTTCTAGGTGTGTCAGCACCATACCCGTGACCGTGGGTTTCACCAAAGTGGTAAACATCTGAGACCTGCATCACTTCGGGCTTTCCTCCCACACTAAGCTGACACGCCGTGATATAACTGGAATACTGTTCAAAGTGGTGTTAAACCTGACTCACTCACTCCTCCCACATCAACCCGACTAGCCTAATATAACTGGAATACAGCGTTCACTCTACACGAATATGTGTAAATGGTGCACAGAGTTCAACCGATCAGCTATTTGAAGTAGATTGACTTATTTAGCAGGAAATTCCTTTCCTTTTTCGAAATTTCATATTTGACACCTGAATAACAATATTATAGCTCACTAGAATAAAATTAAGCTAGGCACGGGCTACAAACCAGCGTTTATTTTATCTTGCATGCTGGTGCTGTGTGTGATACTGAGACATTGTCTTGGAGTAACGGTAATCAGGAACTCCTGGAATTCGAGTCAACAGACATGACAATATTACATGACTTGTATCAAGTCTGCTTGCACCTTTTGGCCCAAGCTTAACCCTTGTAAGACAAGTCTGGAGTTCCCACGACGTATTCTCACACAGAATACCCCACTGGACAATTTGCCCCAAGAACATCCTGGTGTTTGTGGTTCTGCTGGAGTGAGTGAGTTGGGTTTAATGCCGCTTTTAACAGTATTCCAGTTATATCACGGCATGTCAGCTTAATGTGGGAGGAAAGCCAGAATTCATGCAGGTCTCAGACGTTTACCACTTCGGTGAAACCCACGTGCACGGAGATGGTGCTGACAAACCTAGAAACATAATCAGGGCGAACCGGGATTCGAACCCACAATCATAGGTTTCTGGCGTGCCCAAGGGACGCAACTCTGCACAGCGAATCGCGGCGCCTTAGACGACTGGGCCACCCGTGCCCCCCTGTATTGCTGGAGCTGTCGGTGCCTTAATGTGACAAACTATTCCATCGCTCCTGATGAAGTCAAATTGGAGTGCTTGACCAACATTTCACTTGTTATATATTCTTGTTGATTGTTACATCTTGGGATTTGGAGTTTGTTCCAGATGAAGTGTTTTTGACAGGCTATCCTCATCTGTACATGAAAACTTGAGAGGTAGATTGGGCTGCTTGTCCCTTGGCCAGTGACAACCAAATACAACACTGGACCGGCTAGTATTTGAAGCCGATACTTCATCCCTAATTTGGTCATGTTTTGGCTGATTTATTTTCAAAATGACCAAATCAGTTTGTGGAAACTGCTGATCGCCTTGTCTATTGCTCATCTAGGCATGTTCCAATCAAATCCCAGTCACGATAGAAAAGACCCGTGAAGATCAGGGGTAGAATAGGTCTTCAGCAACCCATGCTTGCCGTAGAAGGGGACTATGCTTGTCATAAGAGGCGACTAACAGGATCGGGTGGTCAGGATCGCCGACTTGGTTGGTGCATGTCATCGTATCCCAATTGATTAGATAGATGCTCATGATGTCAATCACTGGATCGTCTTGTCCAGACTCGATTATTTACAAACCGCCGTCATATGGCTGGAATATTGCTGAGAGCGGCGTTAATCAACAAACAAACAAGAAAGATAAACTATTCGATAATCATAACATGGCCATGACCACTTCTTCCTCAGGCTCTATTTGATTTGAGAGCCTTCTTGAGGTCTATTTTAGGGCCATTGCTATCACCACAGGGCAGTGGAATTATATGAACAAATCTACCCCTTAACTTTCTTTGACACTAATGCTTATAGATACTGTTTTCCTGTAGACATTTAAAGCAGTTATTTCTTTTCTTAATCAGTGTAATATTTGTACCCTTATCAAGAAGTGTATGCGCTATGAAGTGTTTCTTTGGAACACTTGACTGATTGCATGTTGTGTCAATGTTTTTGAATATTTGAACAGCCACATTGATTTTTAAGGGTTTTTTCTGGGACACTCAAAGAATGAAATGTGTAAAAATACAGTCTCACTTCTGTTTTGTGTTATTAGCATGAGATGTTGTCCTGTGTCAATATTATGGAATCGCTGCTGTCTCCAATAAAATCCCTTCGACTCTCTCCTAAATGAAGTTATGATGGACTGGGTCCGGGGTATGTATTGTGGCCGAAAGGAGATATTATACCCTGGATGAGGGAGGATGCAGCCATGATATCCCCCGCGTCTACACTGGCTTTGATAACCTGGTTGTATATATTTGTATTGTTATGTTTGAGAAGTGTGTCTCAATAAACTACATATTTGTCCTCGCTATCTTGTCCTTGTATGACTGACAGCCTCCTTGGTCTAGTGGTAGAGCGTCTGCCCGGAGAGCCCGGGTTCGATCCCCGGCCGCGTCATACCAAAAGACGTTAAAAGATGGTACTTGTTGTTACCCTGTCTGGCGCTCGGCATTAAGGGGCTAAAACAAGGACTGGTTGGCTCGGAGTCAGTATACTGTGTCTGAGTGGGGTATTCATGTTAAACTGCGGCATGGTATCTTAGTGAGCTAGCACTATAAATCGGCATCAGTCCGGACTAGTACAAGCAGCCACACACACACACACACACACACACACGTGCATGCACGACGCTATATAAGTGGAATAATCTTGGACGCGACTTTAAACCACATTTCACCTCACCTCACCTTGTATGACTAAGGTCTGGTTCTACCTCAGCGGCCTTTTTTCTGTTTTAGGCCAGATTATTTCAATAACTTGGTTTACAAATCCTCTGACTCCAAAAAATTGAAATGTGTAAAAATCAAATAAAAATGAATCTGAAGTCACTATCAATGTAAATAAATTATTCATAGTATTTATTATGATTAAGACCTTCTCAAAAGAGAGAGTATGGTTTATCCACTGTTAGCTATATAGCTATATATCTTAAGAACTTGAAAACAACAAATTATGATTTTTTAATGTGAAGCTTATGATATATCACTTTTCCATTTGAAGAGAGGCCGGTCACATGATAGCAAAACGTTCATTTAAGAATTGGCTTAAACTTTCTGTGAGTTCTTTGGCGTATGAACCTTCACAGAGTGAGGGCGAATCTGTATGATTTGTTTTGTTAGTTTGTTTATTTTTTAACGATGCACTCAGCAATATGAAGGCAGTCTGTAAATAATCAAGTCTGGGCCAGACAATCCAGTGATTGACATCATGAGCATCGATCCACACAATTGAGATCGGTGACATGCATCAACCAAGTCAGTGAGCCTTACGACAAGCATAGTCTCCTCTTACGGCAAGTATGGGTTGCTGAAGACCGATTCTACACCGGACCTTCTCGGGTCCAGATCATGAAAGTGACAGTCGGAATGTGTTTGCTAATCATGCAACCTCGAAAACGTTAACACGGGGTATTCCGAACGACAGTTACGGCCCGTACGACTGATTCCGTCAAAATTATCGTCCGTCTCTCGCTTCCGTGGGATAAACATTTGAACGGAGGAGGCGTTGCACAGTACGTGGAAAGCACTGCCATACAATCTCAACCATATATTAGACATTCCAGAACGTTCGTTTGTTCAGTTTTCAATTTTTTTATCGAGAACTATATCAACATATTTTTCAAGCGTAGTCTGAAATAGAAGTCGCCATGTTGAAACAAGTGCCGTAATGCTCGAGAAAGCTGCTTTCTAATTGGCTGATGTCGACTTCTTGTTAATCATTTCAGTGGACGGTCAAAGTTCGCGAAAGGTCGTTCTGACGTGACCCGTAATAGGATGTCCTCAGATCTTCGTTTTCCGGCAGCGAGAACTTAGATCTGATTTTAATGAGATGGTTCCAATTCCAGATTCCCACAGATTTTGTAAGCCCCAAACTTGTGCTTCTGGGATATATGTGTAGGAAAAAACACGTCAGATGGTTTATTGAGATTTAAAATCCAAAACCTGAGGGTAAGTGTTTTATCTAACTTATAAACTGAAAAAAGAAACTTGAAACAACATTTACCAACACTTTTATGTTCCAAACATACTTGGGGCGGTCGGGTAGCCTAGTGGTTAAAGCGTTCGCTCGTCACGCAAGACCCGGGTTCGATTCCCGCATGGGCACAATGTGTGAAGCCCATTTCTGGTGTCCCCCGCCGTGATATTGCTGGAATATTGCTAAAAGCGGCGTAAAACCATTCTCATTCATTCCAAACATACTTGCCATGAACCTTAGGAAACGGGCGTAAAATGTCTGTTCCGGCGTAAGTGACTTGAAAAAGACGTTCTTAAAATCATTGTGGTTTATAAGGGCCTCTCTATCCTAACGTTGCAATGGGCTACAGAAACGAAGGTTGTGTGTTGGATGCGCGGGAATGAAAAGAAAACATTTCTCATTTGAGTTTGTGTTCAAATGCAAAATATATCTCAAGGAAGAAACATTCACATGTTACAATGTAAACGGAAGCTGTATTGATAAATCCCGGGGATATTATGACATCCGTATGAATGAGAACCCGTGAAGATTCCGGGGTAGAATAGGTCTTCAGCAACCCATGCTTGCCGTAAAAGGCGACTATGCTTGTCGTAAAAGGCGACTAACGGGATCGGGTGGTCATGGTTGATGCATGTCATCGATCCCAATTGCGTGGATGGATGCTCATGATATTAATCATTGGGTTGTCTGGTCCAGACGCGATTATTTACAGACCGCCGTCATATAGCTGGAATATTGCTGAGTGCGGCGTTAAACAAACCAAACCAAAACCAAATTAAATGA